TTGTGACAGAGCTGAAGTACCATTTTTAAAAGCTGTGTAATATTCCTTCCTTCCTAGGTTACACTGTTAGCTGTTTAGGTTATTACAATTTTTAAAAATGTTCCATAACATTTCAACAAATATATTTGGGTACATGTTTTCTTCTTTTGAATATTTTTTTCTGAGGATAAACTCCTCAGAGTAGATTATTAGATCAAAAAACATAAATGTTTTTCTGACGCCAGAGATTTGAACAACGTCAAAAGCAGTCCTTGCCCTGTGATGTCTTCAACAAAGTGGTAACTTATTTCACCTACTAGTTGGCAAAGTTTAAAAAGCCTGAATATTCCCAGTATGTAGAAACAGAAATGCTCATGCATTGATTTGTGTTATGGGCTGAATTGTGTCTCCCTCAAAATTCATATATCAAAGTCCTATCCCCTAGTAACCTCAGAATGTGACTATATTTGGAGATAGGATCTTTAAAGAGGTAATTAAGTTAAAATGTGGTCATTAGGCTAGGCCCTAATCCATTATAACTAGTGTCCTTATAAAAGAGGAAATATGGACACAGATAGAGGGAAGATGATGTGAAGATACAAGGGAAAAATATCTACAAGTCATGGAGAGAGGCCTGGAACAGATGCTTCCCTCGCAGCCCTCTGAAGGAACCATCAACCCTGCTGATACCTTATCTCACACTTCTAGCCTTTAGACAATACATTTCTGTCAACTAAGCCGCCAGTCTATGGTACTTTGGTATGGCAGCCCTAGCAAACTAATACAGTTGGTAAAAATATAAATGAGTACAATCTTTTGACCCAGCAATTCCATTTCTATGAATTTAGCCTGCAGATAAATACTCGCCAGTACTAGACATTGTTCCAAGCGCTGAATATATATCAATAAACAAGACAAAAGCAGTCCATATCCTGATGGATCTTCTATACTAGTGCAAAGAGACAGGCAATACACTAATGCAAGGAAACATTAACAGATAATTTCATATAGTAATAACTGCTCTAAAGGATATAAAACAGGTCGATGTGATAGACAAGGGCTACTTTAGACAAGGAAGTTGGAGAAGATTACTTGAGAAATATCATTTCAGCTGAGATCTGAAATTAAAATCTGCAATCTCTAATCTGAAATTAAAGTCATGCAAAGAGGTAGGGGAAAAGAAAATTCAGGAAGAGGGAAGAGCAAGAACAAAAGACCTGAGATAGAAATGTATTTAGTATGTTCCAGGAATGGAAAGAAACCAGAGGAGCATAATGGGCAAGGGGAAGAATAGTATGGGATGAGGTGGGAATGGTAGGCAGTAGCCAGATCATGTAGGCTTGTAAAGAGTTTGGATTTTATTATACATGCAATAGAAATCACTGGGGTTTAAGTAGGGAGTGATGCAACTTGTTTCCCACGTCCTCCTCCACCAACGGAGTCCATCAATAGGTGACTGGTTGGTTGCATATTTACACTTTGTATGTTTGGTTTGCATGTTTTTAGAAAACATCTCAAGTACAGGTACCATGGAATTCAATATAGATAGAACCTGTAACAACTTTCACTCCTAAGAAAGGCTCTTTTTTGAAAGCCCCTGGCCACAATCAAGGTAAATAAAAGGCAAGGCTTCTTCCTGAAAGCCAGTACCATCCCCTTTCTCATTGGAGAAAACTCTGATCATTGTCCACAACAGGAGAGAGACCTTTGGGCCTTCACTCTCTTGTTATCCTCTTGTTCACACGCCCTCTCTCCCACCATGCACTTTCTCCTCACCTATCCCTCACCTTTAGTTCAAATACAGGCGTATCAATTACTTCTGCACCATGGCGCTTGAAGCAGCTGATGATTACATCAAACACCTTCTCCCGAACTGCCATCTGCCGGGGACTGTAGTCTCTTGTTCCCTTGGAGTAAAAATCAGCCAAAGAACCAGGGATGGGATTTAAAAACGAACAAGAACAATAAGGTCTAGAAATAAAGAAGCATGACTTCCGTGATGACGAATGCAAATCTTACCCCAAACTTAGATTTTCCTACAGGCCACTGAGTTATAAGACAGGTACAACTATCCGCTATTCATCACCGCACCCATTTGCTATCACCCATTCCTTTAGCATGGTTCTATTTTCTAGAAATCTTAAAGTTCTATTCTCTGAAAATTTTTCCTAAAATCTCTTTTTCTGGGGTAACATTTTCCCACCTAATAGAAAACACCTACCTGATGACAGGCAGAGAACCAACTCAGACTGGCTTAAATAGTTTAACTCCAAATTTTACAAGTAATATTCTCTACCAACATAACTTAAAAAAAAAATCCTAATGAATTCTATTTATTCTCTAATTTGTTTCTGACAGCCTTATGACATGGGCTGGGCAGATACATTTTATAGATGAATTATAGGATGTTGAGAAGTTAAATCATTACTTAAGGCCACTCAGCAGGTTTGTGGCAGTCTGTGGACAAGACTCACTTTATTCACTTTTTGTGAAAATGTCTGCCACATACCCCAACCTTTAAAACAATATCTTGTCTTTCAATTTTTCTTTCAAATAAAAAAGGTGTTCTGTGAAAAGATCGGCTTACAACTCATACAATGGCAAAAGCGTTTTTCCTATTTTGGAATGCAGCAGAAGCGCTTTATATGTACTTCCCATTTCATCACACAGACATTAATAAAAATGCACTCAAGGGTTGAGATTCAATAAAATTAATTTTTACTGTTTTATCAAGGACATTAAAACTGATTTTTTTTTTTTTTACTGTGAGTGCTTGAAAGTAAAGAACACAATGGCTATTAGTACAGTTTAGTGCCACTGTTTTGATTTGTGCTAAGACACTAGCAGTTCTACTCACCAGTGTTTTTGTACCTGCAGTGCAAATGAAGTAAAAAAAAAAAAGAAATAACACTATGAAAATAATTTTGACCATGAAGAGCCCTTGAAAGAGTACTGTCTCCATGATACCGTTTTGTTATTAACATGACTCACGTCAAGAAATGTGTTTCAACAAATTAAAGGAGAAAATAACTCTCCAGTATAATCTCATTTTCTTTTAGCATTATATTATGGAAAATTTTAAACATACATTATAGAGCATAATACAAAAGACCACCATGTATCTATTACCCTGTTTCAACTACCATCATCATCTGCTATTCTTATTTGATATAAGCCCCAACATTTTTTTCTATAGTACTTTAAAGTAAATCCCAGACATCAATCCTATCATTTCATCCATAAATATTTAAGATTCTCAAACCATAAAGATTAAAAAAAAAACAACCCACTACCTTTATTATAATCAATAAAACTAACACCAACCCTTCAATATTATCTAATGCCCAAGCCATGTTTAATTTTTCCCGATTGCCTCAATATCTTTTTATGGTTGGCTTGTTTGAATCAGATTCTAAATGAAGTGCATGTGCTGTATTTGGTTGATATGTTTCATGTCTATTTAATCTACAATAGTTTCCTTTTTTTTTTTACAGTTTCCTTTTTTAAAAAAAAAAAATGTCATTTATTTGTTGAGGAAATTGAGTCATTTGTCCTAAAGAATTTTTCTCATTCTAGATTTGGTTACCGATATACTCAATGTGTCATTTAATATGTTCCTCCATCTCTCATATTTCCAGTAAACTTGTTGGTCTGAAGACTTGATTAGATTCAGGTTAAATTTCCTTGGGAAGAATAATTCATAGATGGGGCTGTATACTTATTGCATCACATCAGGAGGAACAATGTCTGGTTGTCCTACCTTTAGTGACATCAAGATTGATCATTAGATTTAGGTGAAGCCAGCCTAATCTATCATCAATTTCCCACTAATCTTTTCACCTAATAGTTTGAATAACTATTGATAATCACATTGCCTTGGGATTTTACATTGTTTCCTTAACCTTTGAAATTTGTGTAGAAAGGACAGCTCCATGAATTTAGGAGTCCAAAGAATTAACCTTAAAAAGGGGAAATCTCAATGCCAGGAAGACAGATCATCTCCCCTCTCCTTTGAGTTCAATTTCACACACATTCACTGAATATCTATTTAATTCCAAGCACCTGATCTCAACCTCTCAGCATACATAAACCATGTGAATAACTAAAAGTCAGCAATAAATTAATGATAGAGATATACAGTAAGTGCCAAAGGAACCTAGATGAAGGGGTAGATATTTCCATTTATTGAACTTACAGGAAGTGGCATCTGAACTGAAATCTTCGAGAGTGAGCTAGGAATTTCCAACTGCATTCCACTCTCCTCTTTTCTATTTGGGTCTAGTCATACAGGTCTTTTTCTATTTCCTGGAAACTACCAAGGTTCTTTTCTGCTTCAGGTGTCCATACTACACTTGGACCTATCTTCCTCACACTCTTCCCCTCACTATCTCCCACTCATCTGTTAGGTTGATTAGTACATCACTTCTTCAGTGAGGCTTTCTCAAACTCCCTTATTTTTCTCAGATCATCCTTGTTATTTCTTTATATTACTTATCACAATTTGTAATTATATCTCTGCATAAGGAATTATTTGCATTAAAAGTCTGTTTCCTTCAGTAGAATATAAGCTCCAAGAGGGCAGAATATATTGTTCGTCATGCCATACTCACTGATTTGTATAGTGCTAGGCACATAGTAAGCACTCAGTAAATATTTACAGAATGGAAGAAGGAATAGCAGTAGCAGGCAGATTCCCCTAAGTATCCAGCTGGCCTAGTTTCTGCCTTCACTTTGCCATCCCAGAATGACTCAGGAAGAGTCCAATCCAGCCTGGCAACTGTTGTTTTCTCTGCAGCATTTCATATCCTCAATGACCCGGTTCAGGGAAGCAAGGGATATGCATCCCTGTGAGTGGAATTAGAGACCCTCTCAGAGGCTTCCTAAAGGAATAATATTTACCTTGGGGGTTTTGAGCACAAACTTCTGTTTCCCTTCATCAGGGCCCAGCTGTGCCTTCAGTTTCAGTAGTTTTGCCACCTCCTCCTCGATCTGTGGAGGGAAAGTAGGTGCTGGGCTATCACATCTGCTACTCCCCTCCCTCCCACGACATTCATTCAGTATCCCTCCATAAGGTTCTGGAACAGATCTCTCTCCCCAGGCCTAGATTTGCTTCTTTTGGGTTCTACCCCGGCTACCTCACCACCCAGCCCGTCTTCCTCTATAAGCCGGGTCCCTTCTCCTCCATGTCCCTGTACACGGTGCAGACCACTCCAGTTCGACGTCCTCCCGGGCCTTGCTTTGGTCCCTCCCCTGCCACTGGGTCACCTGCTCGGCGCTGGCCTTCTGCTGTTTGAGTCCCCGTACATGCTCTCCCTGAAGTCGCACTAGCTCCTCCAACGCCGCACGCTCTGCCATACTGGCTGCTAACTGGTGAGGACTGGTGTCTAGATCCGTGGTGGTAGCCACAGCCTCAGCTCGGATGACTTCCGGCCGTCGAGTAGGTGGCCCGCAAGCCTAGAGAGCCTCCGCCGGGCAAAACCACTTCCGGCTCCTACCGGAAGTGTCCAAACTGAGAGGGAGCAGGGGAGGACACGAGACACCTTGCGGGATTTGGAAGGTTCAGAAGCGCTCGTCTCTTCTTTGGTGTTCGGGCTTCATCTTTACAGCTCTCTGCACCCTTTCTGGGGTCCGACGTGCCTTATTCTTAGGTCCTTTGCTTCCTGTCCTGGAAAGCTGGCCTCTTGCTGAACGATGCCCCAGCTCCGACTCCTGCACGGGAGGGCCTGGGCTACGCTGCTTGGCCAGCTCCGGCAGTCGCCCCGTGTTGTGTACCTCCGGGCGGTCCATTCTCATAGCCAGGTGAGCCAGCCAGAGATAGCCCCGGTCTGTCGGGGCAGGATCTCTTGGTCTGTAAGCATGGACTTGCGACCTGTACTCCAATAGTATTACAGTCGGTTTTTATTGAGCGCCCACCATGTACTAAGCTAAGCGGTTTAGATGCTTTGTCATTTAATCCATTTAAGCAGTCTTGAGCGGTTGGGATTTTTATTAAAATCATACAGTTGAGGAAAAGGAGACTGCAAGGTTAAATGACTTAGCTATGGATATATAGTAAGAGAGAATTTTAATATAGGTCCACAATCCCTCATTTGAACCGGTTGAAGTAAGACATTAAAATTTCTTAAGCAAAATATATAAATATTCCCACTGAGATGATTAACGATCATAAGTAGACCTGAGTTCACTTTAGAATTTACCTTAAAATGACTAAAGAAAAAAACCGCACCATTTTTCAGAGATTTTTGGATTTTGGAATGGCAGAGGAGGGTTTGTGGACTTGAACTGCCATCCTTTGGAGCAGAGAATCCGCCAAAGTATATAACTACCACATTTTTTATATTTCTGGAAGGCTGGAAGGGCATTCAGTCTGCTGATAATAAACAACATCACTAATTCTATTTTACCTTGTGAAGGACCCTGTTTTTTTTTTTTAGCAAATGCTTTGTGGACGAACAGGGCTTATAGCTTTGTTATTAATTTTCAGTCATAGCATCTTTACAAACTGTTTATTTATTTTTCCAATCAGCAAATCCATTCTTTTTCATTCTACAGGTATATTCTTTGTCCTTGGGCTGGTTCTCTTCTCTCTTCAAGTTACGTTTTCCCTGTGTCCAAGCCTAATGGCCATTAATACCTTATTAAAAATTGATTTTGCTCTTTGAACAAGAGCTGAGAACTGGAAAAGATCACTCTAATCCCTGCCCCTAGAATGTTGATGATAGTAGTGGTGGGTTGTTCTTTGCCTTCATTGTTCTCAGGTTCTTAAACTTTTCCAGATGATCTTGTGTAGTATAGACCTGACCTCATGTGTATTACATATATAGACTGTAGATCCAACATGGGTATTTGGAGGGGGACTGAGACTGGGATAGATAAAATAGTGTTCAGGGTTCCTGTTGCTCAGGGCCAAAGACCTTTGCAGGTTGGTGGTCCACAGGGCCAGAGATGTCATAGGTCTGGCCAGTCTTGAGAGGAGCCACATCTCATATTTCTTCTTCTGCCAGGTTTCAGAGGCAGTGTTAACATCCCAACTGAAACCACATCAAGAGAAATCAAATATTATTATCAAGACTCCAAAGGTAATTCCCTTGGCCCCATGCTGTCCCATTAGAGTGCCTTGGAGGACTGCCCTCTGCTCTGACTTTCTCTTCTTAGCCTCTTTGAATGTCTTTTTAGACTACTTAAAAGAAAGAATAATTTTCACTATTCTTGAGGTATTGGGGCTTAGAGTTATCTGAACTCTCAACTCCAGACCTTATAATATAGATGTAGTTTAACTCTTTGTCTTACATTGACTTGTTTTTATCTTTGTTTTCACTATGGCTGCTTTTGCTTTCTAGGGGACCAGAGATCTTAGTCCCCAGCAGATGGTGGTGAGGGAGAAAATTCTTGATACTGTTGTTAGCTGCTTTAAACGTCATGGAGCAAAAGGGTTGGATACCCCAGCATTTGAGCTAAAGGTAAGAGGAAAAGAGAGCTGGAACCCCATTATTTCACCTGCCTTCATTTCCTGAGGGGCTTCTAGCCTATGTTCTGGAGTCCTCTTTTGAACTGTGGCGCTTTCTGTGTGACCCCTGCAGGAAATGCTCACTGAGAAATACGGAGAGGACTCTGGGCTCATCTATGATCTGAAGGATCAGGGTGGAGAGCTGTTGTCCCTGCGCTATGACCTTACTGTATCCTTCTGGGTGCTGGAGCCTGAATTATCTCTTTCCAAACCCAGACAGCTTTCTCTGACAAAAAGGACAAGAATGACTGTGAGACCATAAAGGTCTCTTGGCATGAGTCTTTACTTCTAGTTTCTCCCAGAAGGCTACCCTGCCAGCAGAACCTGATCTGGAGCACTGTGATTTAACTGTAATGTGTATCAGAATCCCTTGGGGAAACTTGCAGATACACAGATTCCTGGCTCCCAGCCCCAGATATTCCTAATTCTGTAGCTGACGTGGGGTTCAGCATGCCGCATTTCAAACAGGCAGCTGGGTAATTAAGATGCAAGTGGTCCTTGACCTACAGTTTAAGAAACATTGACATAAAAGTTGTAAGCAAATTGAAGTTCTGAAGCTTAACTATTTTGAGATGGTTGAGAATTGATCCAAATGGGAGGGAATGGCCTAGTCTTGAAATTCTTGGGTCATTTCTCTCTGCTTTTCCTGCTTTCTGCTGAACTTGTAATTTTGTTAGGTGGGATTTCTTCATTTGACACTGTTCTATATATATTGAGTGCCAAGTATTGCTAGGCCTTGGAGATAGTAGGAAACAAGACAGAGAAGATAGGTGTTCTCATCCTAGTGGATGGGATCTAATTGATAAAGGCATAATCCTCTCAAATGTCTTTACACTGGTCCTAAGTTTTGGATGTAGTGTCCCTTCCTCCTTAACCTATTTATGTGAGGTCCCTTTCGCTCGTTATCTGGCCATGAATAAACTGAAGAAGATGAAACGCTACCATGTTGGAAAGGTGTGGCGGCGGGAGAGCCCAACCATAGTCCAAGGCCGCTACAGAGAGTTCTGCCAGTGTGTAAGTGACCAGAAGGAGGCACCATGGTTTGATAGTTCTGGGGGTCACAACCTGGGAACCAGCTACTCAGTGGAGATTTTTTTCCTGTCTTTTTCTTTGCTGTAGGATTTTGACATTGCTGGTCAGTTTGATCCTATGATCCCTGATGCAGAATGTTTGAAAATCATCTGTGAAATCCTGAGTGGGTTGCAGCTAGGGGACTTTCTCATTAAGGTGAGGCCAGGGCTCAGAACTGAGGGGAGAAGTTGGGATTTGGCCTGATGCTGCCTCAAAACATAGATGACCCCAGCCTTTAAGCCTGCAGTTCTAGGACTTTCTTAGTATAGTTGTTGCATTTCATATATATCTATATCGTCATCCTGTGAAATTTCCTTTCCTTCCCTTTTATGAGTTAGTAGAATAGGGACTGCTATTGTTTTGAGGGAAAGGGCGTTGACAAGGCACTTAGGTTACTTCCATTAAGTTCACAGGTCAATGACCGGAGGGTTTTGGATGGGATGTTTGCTGTCTGTGGTGTTCCTGAAAGCAAGTTCCATGCCATCTGCTCATCGATAGACAAACTAGACAAGGTAACAAAGAAGACACACTTCAGTAGATCCTATCAGAGTGTCTGCCCTGCCCTCAAATTTATAACTCTAGAGAAAAATAAGGAGATATTGGCTAGAAGTGAGCTATTTCTGGGAGGAAGGTAAGGAGCCATTCTAAAGCCAGACCTGAGTTTGACTGTGCAGTGGGGATTGTGACTGAATTTTTTAAGCCGTTTCTAATTTTGTTGAGTATAGTATTAGGTACTCATGACACATGCTGAGTGAAAGTGAGATATTCTTTTCCACTTATAGAAAGAAGGATCTTGGGGCTGGGCTAATGTTTGGGTGTTTGTGCAGATATCTTGGAAAGATGTGAGACATGAGATGGTGGCAAAGAAAGGCCTGGCTCCTGAAGTGGCTGATCGAATTGGGGACTATGTCCAATGTCATGGTAAGAACCAGGGTTTCAGAGCTATATCATAGAACCAGAGTAAAGGTGATATGTGTACAGCTTCTAACTCTAAAGCATCTCCTTTCTGTAGATGTGTTAAGCTCCAGAGCCTGGCCTGAATTTAATTTCCCTTTTACTTATCGTAACCACCTATGTCTTCAGATGGCAAAGTTAGAGGCAAGGAGGAGAATCAGGTCATATGAGATCAGGATCTTATTGTTTTTTTTAAGAAAAGGAAGAGGACCACCTGGAGCACATTAGGGATAAATTTGGGTGAAACACATCTAGGTGAATAGCGCAGACCTTATTTCTCCCCACATGTCTTCCCAGGTGGAGTGTCCTTGGTAGAGGAAATGTTCCAGGATCCTAGAATATCTCAGAACAAGCAGGCCCTCGAGGGTCTGGGGGACCTGAAGCTGCTCTTTGAATACTTGACTTTATTTGGAGTTGCCGAGAAGGTAACTGAGTTGGGAATGGACCTCCTGCTGAGCTCTGAGATTCTCAGGGTCCTGAGTCTTGTCTGGGACTCACTATAGCCTTGTTCCCACAGATCTCATTTGACCTAAGTCTGGCTCGGGGCCTGGACTACTATACAGGAGTGATCTATGAAGCAATGCTGTTACAGACCCCAGCTCAGGCTGAGGAGGAGCCCCTGAATGTGGGCAGTGTGGCTGCTGGTGGGCGCTATGATGGACTAGTGGGCATGTTTGACCCTAAGGGCCACAATGTGCCATGTGTGGGGCTCAGCATTGGGGTAGAGCGAATCTTCTCCATTATGGAGCACAGGATGAAGGTAAGGGTAGAGTGGGGCTGGAAGCCTAGGAACTCTAATGTTTCTTGAAGTGCAGTTGGACTGTTTCTGATAATTATTTTTGTCCTGTCTTTTGGAGTGCAAAGGAAGCTTTTTAGTTTTACTTTCTTCTCTTTTATCAGACTTTTGGTGAAAAGATACGGACCACAGAGACGCAAGTGTTTGTGGCTACTCCACAGAAGAACTTTCTCCAAGAACGATTGAAGCTAATTGCAGAGCTTTGGGATGCTGGGATCAAGGTATGATGGAGCCAGTATCCAAGCCATCTAGGTATATGTGGAATTCAGGCACCAGGCCCATTTCTGTTTTATGCCTAGTGTGGAACTCAAGATCTTTCTAGTCTTTATTAAAGTGTCTTCTTAGAATGTGAGAGCTAGCTACTTATTTCTTTGGAAATGCTTGCCTGGGGCCTGAGTGGTGTGGTCACTTCTAAGACTCCTACTTTTATCCTTTTCAGGCAGAGCTGCTATATAAAAACAACCCTAAACTACTAACTCAGCTGCACTACTGTGAGAACATGGGCATTCCACTGGTAGTCATTATTGGTGAGCAAGAACTGAAAGAAGGGGTCATCAAGCTTCGTTCAGTGGCCAGTAGGGAGGAGGTAAGTGAAGCAGGCAGAAATAGAAAAGACCAAGTGTTCGACCTTTTTAGATTCTTTAAGAAATAATATTTCTGGCTGAGGAAATATCTCCACGGTGAAGAGTGATAGAGATAAATGAAGACCTATCCCAGGCAACCATTGTAGCCAATGATATTGGCTGGATAGGAATAAAAAGGAAATGAAACCTCAATGGGTATTTTGAGACTAATCAACAAGATAAACAGAGATAGGTATTTTGACCCCATTTAGTCTCGAGGGCTATATTCTCCAGGTCATCTTGAAGCCCATACTATTCCCTGCTGGTTGCAGAAGTCATGGAAGCAGATATAGAATAAAAGGAATCTGGGAAAGCAGTGGCTGAGGAGCTAGTATCACTCTCTAGTTTGTCAAATGAGGGTTCTCTTATATTTCAGGTGGCCATTAAACGGGAAAATCTTGTGGCTGAAATTCAGAAGCGACTGTCTGAGTCTTGATCCTTGCCTGATTGCCATCTGCTGCTCTTTGTAGAAAATGTTTCTTCTAGGACTGAGTTCCTGATGGACTTCAAACTGCCAGCCAGGATGGGTGACAAATGCTTCTGCCTTCTCCATCCTTCTTGGGTACAGAACTGTAAAAGGCCCTGAGGACTCCAGGACTATTGCAAGCAGCTATTCTGCATGGGCGCAGATGGCTGGTATGTGAAAGAGACCTGCTTAACTGCAGAGTCAGATGGCAGATTTGAAGTGTCATTGAATACTGCCAAGAGGTACTGAGATGTTTGCTGTGAGCAAGGCTCTGGGAAGTCACCTGAGAGAGGTGAACCATTGGGATCAGATGTCAGATACTTAGCCTTCCTCTGTACTGTGGCTTCTAAACCAGATTCTGGGGAATTTGTCCACAACCTGCTGTGGGCCTGTCCAAGTTTTTGGGAGACAGCAAAGAGGAGCAATCTCTGCTTTCTGCTTTGATTGAGGAAGAGATGCTATCCCAGGGGTGTAGCATCTCTTTAGTCCATCTGCTGTTAATAATACCAGGGCGAGGCTGTTGGATCATCTTGAATGTTGAACTTAGTAGGTGGCCTGACCAGATCTTTAAGATTTTTGAGACCATTTTCTGTGCCAGAATCGCTGCTGACTATTCCATGTCCTGTCATGGAGGTGACTGTTTTAGAAGTGGTTGGATGATATATTAAATAAAATATTTAATGTAGTAGTTTGGGTAATTTGTTATCAAGGGGTTGGTTTGCATAGAAAATGCTTGAAGGTACACTGAAGAATTCTAACCTTGAGCTAGGATTAACCTCCCTGGGGTGATATTTCTGTATTCAGTGAAGGGGACAGCCACAATTTTCCCCTGCACCCTCCACCCCTTGGAGATACAGTCGTGTTGCTAAATCAGCATATGGTGAACTATCTGACAGAGTTCTTCACCCTAGAGTGCTCCTGACAACTGGCCTTCTCAAGTCCAATCATGTTGTTTAAATTGTGCCCTATATTGAATGACTATAACGTTCCTCAGTTGGACATATGAGTTAATCATAGGATAATAGTATTGCTTCAATATAAGGAGACAAAAGTGCAAAAAGGTATCTATTGTGCTTTGGGAAGGCCGTAGCTTTTGCAAACACTTTGGTGTTGGGGGAACGGGGGCTTATCTTTAGTGTATACATAGATAAATGGGGCATCCGGCGCCTCTAATAACAGTGCTTTAGCCTTAACGAAAGCTTAGAAACTCTTAGAAATGCACGCAAAATTGATTAGAGGAAAGGGCACTGAGCCTCAGTTTCCTAGTTTGTAAAGTAGAAGAGTTGAACAGCTCTTCCATGCTTGTTTTGAATGCCGGGTCAAAAAAACGTTTGCACGCGCCCTTACTTCCGTGTTGCTTCATGCTCTCATTGCGCATGCGCCATTTTCTTGGAGCAGAGGCGGGGCCGACGGGCCTGTTTTAGAAGCCCTCCAGTGTTTAGCTGGTTTAGAACACGAGACACTCAGCTTATTGGAGGGCAAGCTTGCTTTACGGCGTAGGATCACTTTTTACGGCACTTTCCGGCTTCCCATTCACTTCGCGGTGAAGATGGCGTCGGGCAGCGGGGTAGGTGTTGTCTGTGAGGAGGAGGTTTGAGGAGGTCGGGAGGTAGCGGGTGGTTTCTCAACGCAGAATATCCTGCACCCCACTGGCTTCCCAACATCTCCTTGCGATTCTATGGCCCGGGTGCAAGAGCTTCCCCTTAAGGCCCTGGCGCAGGGTCAGTGGAATGGCGGAGGTCTCTCGGGTTGGGGTCCTGAGGCCACCTCAGCCTCTTGATGCGGTCCGGAGAGGCTTCGCTCTGGACAGTTACCAGGGCCGCCTTAGCGGTGATGATGCGATTTCTCTAGGGGTCCGACAAGATTAGCGACGAATCTCGAGGGGTTTTTTTCCTCACAGACAAAAAACTTGGACTTTCGCCGAAAGTGGGACAAAGATGAATATGAGAAGCTCGCCGAGAAGAGGCTCACGGAAGAGAGAGAAAAGAAGGATGGTGGGTGCCTGCTCTGTCAAGGGGTTAAGGGTATCGTAGAGGCGATGCAGAGGCGGGACAGCGGGTAGGGAGTTGAAATACACTGTCCTCTTACCCTGGCTGAGCGCTGCCTCCCTGGTCCTTGATTCTTCATATATAAAATGAGAGCGAGGAGATGTACTAAAGGGGTTTTGAGGTGCTTTCCAGCTCTGTTGTCCTCTGCTTTCTTGCCCTCCCTTTGTTTGGTTTATTTAGTACTTTCTCGAAATATGGAGAATGGAATCCATGGTAGTGACAGAGAAGTTAGCGGAGTATTTTGCTGGTGTGCCTTACTGCTCTTGAAGACCCCTTTTTTCACTTGAAATTACTTAAGGGGGAGAAGAACATTCCTGGCCCAAACAAAACCTTTTTTTATAGTCTGAGAAGAGCAAGGGTACCCAGAAGGTGCGATTGTTTAAGATGGTGCTTAGTGCTATTCTCTGTGCCTTGTACAATGTCAGGGAATTGGTACCTCTCTCCTAGAGATTCCACTCTACAGAAAGAAATGTCTGATTTTCTCACGTTTTCACATTTGTACATTTTTCTTTCACTTTACTTACAAACCACCTTACACACACTAACCTTTTTAGTTTTTATGTAACTTGTAGTGTTTGGCATGTAACAGGTAATTTCTAAACATTGGTTTTCTGTTTTTAAATTTTCCTCAGCTGTCAGGAGAGGTTATATCTGTGGTATCTGAAAGCATTAGAGTGTGCTTGCTCTTCTTTAAAAAGGTTGCTTTTTTTGAAATTCAGAACTCCTCCCTTCAATTCAGTTAATGAATAGAAAACATTGCCTTTAGACTTGTTGGTTTTAAAGTGGAGAAAAGCTGTAGCGAGTTAAGAGTTGCTTAACATTTTTCCTGTTCATATGCTCCCTAGCTGCTGCTAGAAGTGCCCATTACATTATATCCTTTGCTTCAGGTTTCAAAACAGAAATGAGAATAAATCTAGATTTTGGGTTTCACGCATGGCTTTTTCCTATCTGGTTGAAAGACTGCAATGTTGAGGGGACTTCTTTTCCCATTATATTTCAGGAAAACCAGTGCAACCAGTCAAGCGGGAGCTTCTCCGGCATAGGGACTACAAAGTGGATTTGGAATCTAAGCTTGGAAAGACCATTGTCATTACCAAGACCACTCCACAATCTGAGATGGGAGGGTGAGTGGCTTTTTCATCTTACTCTGTAGCCAGGAGTAGGTCTAATAAACTATGTTGTTTTTAGGTCTAATAAACTATGTTGTTTTAGAAGGGTTCATGGCCCCAGGTTAACAATCTTGTTGCTTGTAATTCCATTCTTAAATTTATTTTTCTTTATCTCCCATGGTCTCGGGTTAACATGATAATATCTTTAGTAGGGTGATCACTCTGTAGGCTTCTTCATATTAGCATTGTAACTACTTAATATCTTAAAAGGGATGATTTGTTCTCCTGCCAAGGAACAAATGAAAGAAAGGACTACTGAGGAGATTTCTAAAGGAGAAGTTAGGTGGAGCTAGAATGGAGTCTGGGAGCTGTTGATGGTGAATAAAGGGGGTTGAGGTTCCAGACTTGCTGTAAAGGCAGTAGTTGTTATGGATTGCCTGATTGTGCACCGTTCTCCTAGACCAAGACTATAACCTATAGGAAGAAGGGTCTCACAAGAACTCTTCATCCTTTTGCCTACTACCTCTCTGTTTAAGTTAGTTTTCCAGTAGGAAGGCAACACAGATAGCAGAGTGATACTTCTCTGAGCTACTTAGCAAATCAACTGTTGTCATCCTTTTCTGTATTAGTAATCTATTGCTATGTAAATTAACCCAAAATTTAGCAGCATAAAATAAATAGTTCACAGTTTCTGTGGGCGAGGAATCTGGGAAAGGCTTACCTAGGTGGTTCTGGCTCAGGGTCTCTCAAAAAGCTGAAATTAAGGTGTCTGCTGGGTCTGCATTCATTTGAGGTATAAGTGGGGCTGCAAGATCTTCCAACATCTGTCAACATGGCTTGGTTTGGCGACCTCAGTTCTTCATTCTATGGGCCTCTCCACAGTTCTTCTCACAACAAAACAAGTGGCTTTCCTAGAGCAAGTGATCCACATGGACAGACTAAGACAGAAGCCATGTTTTTTTTAATAACTTAATCTTGGAATTGACATAGCATCACTTTTGACATATTCTATTGGTCACGCAGACAAACCCTGTTACAAACTGGGAGAGGACTAAACGGCATAGAAATACCAGGAGGGTGGAGATCATTGTGGGGCCATCTCGAAGGTTAGCTACCACATTCTTCTAAGAGTTAAGGCTTTTTGGAAGTCAGAGGTACCTGTTTCTAAAAAGAATTTTTACCTAGAAGTACAAATTTCTTGGTTGAAACAAATAAGATCCTTAGAGCCCGATTTGACTCAAGTGCTATTTATGTTTGATAGGTATTACTGCAATGTCTGTGACTGTGTTGTGAAGGACTCCATCAACTTCCTGGATCACATTAATGGAAAGAAACGTAAGGCTCGGAGGTAGTTTGTGACTGGGGCTGGGATTGGGCTTTACAGTGGGGGGTCGGGGGAAGGGTTGGTTCTATTGTGCTCTTCCCTTCCCCTCTTTAATCTCCCCCTCCCCGCTTCTACCCCTGACCCATGGATGTTGCTGTTTCCCCTTAAGTACTGGATCTCTGAAGGCGAGGTGTCCCATCCCACATGCTCGTGGCGTGCACTCGGGGCCTGGTGCACCGAGGGCCTGGCACACCTGGGGTATGGTCCATGGCTCCACTTGGGGCGTGAACCCAGGAGCTTCTGCATGCAAAGCAGACGTGCTAACCACTACACTATGGAGCCATCCCTTATTTTGCCGTTTTTTTAATGCCTGGGGAATTCTCTAGTTGCCTTAGTGCAGGTTATCCTTTACTTATTATCTAATGTTTCTGGAGGCCATGAGGTAAGACACTGTTCGTGGCTCTCAACAAGCCAAAACCATGGACTCAGCTGTCCCCACTGACATATATCAGCTCAGTAATGGCAGTTGAAAGCCATCTGCATCTTGTTGTCTGGGGCTGCTGTTTCTGGGAACAAGTAAAGCCAAGGGAATTACTTTCAGCTATGATTTTTTTTTGCTTTGTGTTTTATGAGAAGATGGTTTTTAAAGATGTCAGGAAAAGACTTTTTGAGGGGCTGCAGGTGTTATAACGACCATACCTTCTTCACTGCTAATCCCACCCAGATCAGCGGAACCTGGGCATGTCTATGCGTGTGGAACGTTCCACCTTGGATCAGGTGAAAAAACGTTTTGAAGTCAATAAGAAGAAGATGGAAGAGAAGCAGAAGGATTATGATTTTGAGGAAAGGATGAAGGAGCTCAGAGAAGAGGTCAGGCTCTACTGTCTTCCCTCTCCCTCCCCCAGCTTAGAATTTTATGTTATGAATCACAGGGAGGCTTTCTTCCTCATTCCATTGTCACCCCTAGAGGATAGCTGTAGTTCCTGAATTTCTGTATATTAGGAGAAACATTGCCCTTGTTTGGGACTCTGAAGGAGATGGCTCCTGGATTCTCTAGGCCATACTTTTTTTTTTTTTTACTACAGAGGGGATTAACTAAATGCACTTAGTCCCCAGGAGGCCCATGGAACCAGGCTGACTGGATCAAATTCTGTTTCCTACATTCACGGGCTATGGATATATAACCTGTTCGTGCCTCAGTTTCCCCATATTAGAGATCTTAGTATATAATCTGTATAAAGCACTTAGATCAGTTCCTGACATATACTACATTCCCCAGAATATTAAATTCTATTAAATAGTTTTGCTCCCATAATCTTGTTAAGAATTAGAAATGAACTGGAAAGTCGGAATGAGAACTGCTCTCCACAAGCTGAAACTTTTCTTTATTATCCCTTATAGTCTTTACTGTGGCTTTTCCTTTGCTCTTGCAGTTTTACTTGTCTTTAACTATTTTCTCCTAAAGATAGAAAGGAATCTTGAAGCTCATCTGTCTCTTTCAACAATGTTTGGCTCAGGAGTCTGAACTGATTCTGTATGATTTCCCTCCTAGGAGGAAAAGGCCAAAGCCTACAAGAAAGAGAAACAGAAGGAGAAGAAAAGGAGGGCTGAGGAGGACTTGACATTTGAGGAGGATGATGAAATGGCAGCTGTGATGGGCTTCTCTGGCTTTGGTTCCACAAAGAAGAGTTACTGAGGCTTTCTATGTTTGGCCCTTTCCTGGGCTTAACTTTGTGTGTGTGCGTGGGGTCATTTTTTGGGGAGTCCTTAAGAGTGGCAATGGGGAGGGCTAGAGGGTGGGCATTTGTGGTTTCCCTCTACCTTGAGAGAGAGCACAGGAGGCAGAGGTAATGCAGTGGCATATTCCTTCAGCCTCAGTGTATCACTGGAGTCACAGGACCTCTGCTCATCTGAGTTCCCAATAAAAAAAAAAAAAAAAATCATCCTCTTCTGAGGCTGCTTCCCAGAAACTTCTCCTGCATCTTTCCCTCTTCATCTATCGAATCTCCTCTCTGAGCATCTGACATTTTTCCTGTGTTCTGCCTTTGTTTTAATTTTGACTTTCGCTTAGCCTGCAGCGAAAGTTCTCTGGGTCCCCAGTCTCTAATTGATACTATATCCTTGACCAGCCCCCCCTCCCCTTTCCCTCATCTCTCACTGTGGTTCTTTGGCTGCCTGTGCATGCATGTGTACTTCTGCCTGGGTCAGTGGTATGTGTGGATGTGTGTGCATGAATCTGTCACATAGAGGGAACCTCAGCATTGCTGCCTTGGGGCCTGATGTTCTCAGTTTCCTCAGTGCATGTAACAGGAAATTAAATGGGATGAGTGGTGTGGTTTTTGTTGTTTTTTTTTTTTACTTTCGTTTTTTTTTTCATATCTAGACTGTTTAGCTTTTCATGTTTGTTTTATTTTATTGAGGATTACTCTGTTTTTGTCTTCCTTGTGAACAGGCTCTTGGAAGAACCTGTTCGATGCAAAAAAGAAAAAGGAAAAAAAAAAACCTCATATGGGAGCCCTTGGGTCTCAGAGGCTGTTCAACATGTACAATAAATGGCATTGACTGGGCCTGTTTCACATTTTGTGGGAACATTCCATATTCTTCCCTGTGTGTTGTTTTTTCTTCCCACACCAAGGATTTCCATGTAGAGTTTATTCTTTCTTCTCCCTTCAGTTGAGCCCTGTCACTTTCTTCCCCTAGGTTCCTTCAGCCTGAGTTGTGTTTTCCGCTGATGGGATCTGTGTCTAGAGGAGTTTGACCAAATATTTTCCTGTAATTTTAGCCTCCTTTGATCTTGTTTTTGAAACAGCAGAGCTCAGGGTTGAATTTAATGCTTTTCTTACTATGGCAGTTAGGTTAGGCACAGGGTTACTCATTCTTGGCACCGCTGACATTTGGGGCTAATTCTTTGTGTAATTCTTTTTGCATTATAGGATGTTTAGCAGTATCCCTAGCCTCCACTCATTGGATGCCAGTAGCACCCCTTCCCCAAATTATGACAACTAAAGATGTCTGTGTCCCTGGGAGGAGTAGGAGTGAAATCCATTCTCCCAGCCCCATTGAGAACCATTGGGAAGCTGCCTTCCCTACTTTGGTCTAACTTGAGAATTAGATGGCACAGACTGGTTAACTAAAGAAAAAACAACTTTGATACTCCCTGGATCGGGTACAGTACTAGGTCCCATGGATGCAGAGGGAGAAAAAAAAATCAGTCCTTTAAGAAAACAAAAGTTATACAAACTCCAAACAGGTTAGTTCTGTAATAATTTTAGCTAGTTCTATACCCTGAAAATCAGGCTCTTAGGTTAACAAGGCCACCACCATATGGTTTATTTACATTCTCTGCCTCATCTAGTTCCACTGAACACCTTTAGCATCTGAACCACTTGTGGGTCTCCAAAAGTACCATACTCTTGCCTTTGGGCTTTTGTACAAATTTCCCTTTTTGTCCAGCATGTCTTTTGCCTATTTTATTTCTGATGCTGAATCTTGCCACTGGGAACACTGAGTGTATCTGTCTATTGGCTAAAGCCCTGGCTCAAAGTTTTACATACAGTATTTGTTGCCCAACTGCGGGCTGGTTAGCGGGTGCTTGCTTTGTCATGATTATGTGCTCTATAGGTCCTTGGGTAAGAATCTACTCATTGGTTGGATCTTTTTGCTCCCGCATTCGAGGCAGGCTAGAGACGGTATCAGCTGAGTTCCTTTCATGGTTCAGTATTCATTTTTCAGGAGACTATTTCAGTTTGGCTTCAGATGATTTCCCTCCCCCTTTGGTACAGTGGAATCTTACCTCTGATTCTGCTAAAAAGCAATTCTAAATTCCACATTCTCAGGGACTGGCAAGTGGTTTGAGTCTCCAAGGGGCGTGTCTGGGTCAAAGTGAGTTGGAAAGGGGAAGAAGATGGGCTGGAAACTTAGGAGCCCAGAGCAATCCCAGAGAACGCAAATATCTGGCAGAGAAACTTCTTTGATGTTTGTGGTCTTTCTAAAACCCATGGAAATTTTACATTCTGGTTGAGGGATATGCCTGTGACTGGCCTACTTGTGTTCATTTATTCAGTGGGTCCTGAGATGCTGAGCACATTCTCAGCTCTGGTAGTAACTTATGGGGCAAGGCACCTCACTTGTGGAATTTACTTTTTTGTGGAGTTGCCATTTAAAGTATTTGGGGAACAAAAGATCGGTATGGTTTCAGATGATTCAGGCACCTCCAGAGGCTTTTGCATGTTTCCCATACCCCCCTCCAAAAATTTAAATGTGAAGACATCTTTAATCCAGTAATTCTCAAGTTATCCTGCCAACATTCTTGCACATGTGTACATATACATAGAAGGATGTTACAGCAGCTTTGTTTTTATAACAGTGAAGCATTTAAAACTGGCACATTTATACTCGAATATAATGCAGCCATTACAATATATGTGAATTAGATCTATATGAACTGACAAGAAAAAGCTTCAAAACATACTGTTAACAAACACATAAACAATACCCAACAAATTGATTCCCCAAAAAGCCCCCCATCATAAAACTATACTGTGTGTACAGTTAAATATATAGATTGAGGAAAAGGACTGGAGGGATGCACAAGTCTTGGTTACCTGAAGAAAAGTGAAGAGTGCTTAGCTATTTACAGTATTCATAAAAGGAATAGGGTGTTCGTGTGGGATTTAAAAATTTTTAAAGTAGTAACAGAAGAAGTAATATGCATAACACCTGGGAGAGGAGCTGTAGGGTTTCTCTGATTTAGCCGCGAAGTTCAAGAAAAGGCCTGAAATAGAATTTGTTGCATGTAAAGATTCCATTCTCCTGACTGGGGCATTGTCTGCGAGTTGATTTGATCACAGTGACCCCGTATGGTTGGTTGGGGAAGCGCAGAGGCTGCAGCGGGCATCCAGAGATTTGTGGTGGACAAGGGGACCGCTGCGTAGTTGGAGAGAATAAGTCCTGAAGCAAATACGCAAGAGCTCACTGGGGTTTAGGGGAGACCTGAGTTCTTATTGTTGTGTCTAATATGCACTCTCTAAGTGTGTGGTTGGGGTAGAGTGGATCGAACTTTTTTTTTTTTCAGAAAGTAAATCATCCTGGATCACCCTTATTTTAGTCGACTTATTGTGACGCAAGTCTTTCTTGACAGTAAAGATAACATAATCCAGGAAGTGCAGTTGGGCTGGCTTTAGCTCAGCGGTTCCTTCGCGTTCAGCAATCCATGCTTAAAATCACTCTCCATAGGGTGGTTCGAGACCCGCGGGCGCTTTCCAGTCCTTTTGCCGTAGCAGTTTTCTTCATTTTTCCAGTAATCAGCTTTGATTACTTATTTTGATATTCCTCCCCTACCCAGAGCACCAAAAGCGACCGTGTTGCCAGTCAATTTTCAGCTCACTTTCTACAAGCAACCAGGGCTCCTTGGAGAAATGGATCCTGATGTTAGGATTGGGGCAGGAAATAGAGAGATGAAACCTAGAGTGCCAGAAAGTAAGGAAGTGCTAAAACAAATATAATCTCAAACAAAAAAACTTACTTTAAAAATTACTTTTGGTGTTTAGTAATATTTGTGGTTTTGTTCCCATAGTTACCATATGTTTGTATCTTTTCTAATGTCCTCAAGGTCCTTTTTCTTACTTGGTCTGTATTATTTTGTCAGCTGTATCGACACCTCCTATTACTTATATAACAGTTTATTCTATTTTTCCCTTTCTTTCCTCACTTCTATTTTTTTAGTCATGTTTTTAGAAAACAAAACTTTTATACTATTTTATGAGTTTTAAAATATATTTTGGATATTAATTCTTTATCAGATATATCATTTGCAAATATCTTCTTCCATTCAGTAGATTGTCTTTTTGTTTCGTTGGTGGTTTCCTTCACTGTGCAAAAACTTTTTAGTTTAATGTAGTCCCTTTTTTTTTTTTTTTTACTTTTATTGCCCTTGCCTGAGGAAACATATCCCAAAAAATACCGTTAAGAGTAATGTTAAAGAATTTACTGCCTATGTTTCATTCTAGGAGTTTTATGGTTCCAGGTTTTACATTTAAGTCCTTAATCCATTTTGAGTTTATTTTCATATATGGTATAAGAAAGTGGTTCAGTTTCATTTTTTTGCATGTATCTGTTCAGTTTTCCCAACATCACTTATTGAAGAGGCTGTCTCTATTCCATTGTACATCCTTGTCTTTTTGTAGATTAATTGACCATATAAGTGAGGATTTATTCCTGGGCTAGTTCTTGCATATTTAAAACTGATTGGTACGCGATGGACAGATTGCCTGGATATAAAATCTTGGTTCACATTTCTTTTCCTTGAGTTTTTAAAAACTTTTTTGCTTTCTATTTGGTTGCGGAACTTGATACAAACCTGAATTTTGTTCTATCATAAAATAATTTGGTCGTTTTGCCTAAAGCCCAGAGGATTTTTTATTTCAAATCTAATTTATTTTCTAAGATATATCTCAGAGTTCACCATTCCATATCAGTTTTCCTAGGTTCATGGAAGACCTTTTTGATGTGTAGATTCAAGTTTTATTTCTAGAAAGTTTTCTTGTATTATAATTTTGAATATTATATTTGTTTCATTATTTTGTTTTTCTTCTTCAGGTACTATATATGTTGAAACTTCTCTGTATCTAGCATTTTCTCTCTGATCCTTCTTACTGCTTTCTTGATTTTATTTTTATTTTCTTGGCTCTATTAATTCCTTTCCTCAGTACCAGTTATATTTTAAGTAAAATCTCTTTCTCTTGGACATCTTATCGCTTAGTCTTTTTTTCCCCCTTGAGATAATTTGTATTTTTCTTCATTTTCTCCCAATTTTGTCTAACTCTTGCCTTAGATTTCTTTGTTTTTTGTCAATTCTTGTTCTGAGTTTTTTTCTTATTCACAGTATTTTTTCATATCACCAAATGACTGTTTGAGGTTATTTAATTCAGGCTGGAGTATTGTGTTTCAGTTTTCCTGTCTCATGGTTAGTTTTTAAAACTACTCTCATTTTTTTGTTGTCTTTATGTAGTATTATGCCTGCCATTTCCTGTTCATATCGAAGTGTCTTTATTTTCCAGTTTCAGCAATTGCAAACGAAGCAGGCAGTTGGATGCTTTATCAGGCTTAAGAGTGCCCTCTACTGTTGGTAGAATGAAGTGCACTTTTTCCAAATGGAAGACACTTTTTGTGGGGTGGAGCCCAGGTTGATAGATGTTCTGATTTTGTGGTTCTCTTTCAATTCTATAGTAGTCTTCGTTTTCATTGCTTGCTTCCTTCTTTCTCTTCACCATCAAGCCCTCGAGGGATACCTCCCTTTCAAGTCACCTCTTTCCTCCAGATCAGATGTCTTCCCAAGACTGCCATTTCAGGCCCCCTTTTCAGAGTCCTCAATTTCTTTCATCCACCAGTAGGTTTCAAACCTACTGTCAGCATTTCTCCACTCAAACCGGGTCTCTCCTCTTTTGGTGTTGATTTTATCTGTCTTCCATTATTGCTAGGCCTCTGCCGCTCTCTAGTCTTTTCTATACTATCTTGGCCTCCCTTCTATTGCATGGCTTTGTAACTGGATTGCTGGCTTGGGATGTATACTTACCTCTT